GTTGAGGCTATTCCCACTTCGAGAGCGGGGAGGCCTTATATGGCCATCGATATCACGTGACCATATTCACTAGTATCGCAACAGACACAGATACTCGTATATTCTAGAGTAAAAGGGCAAAAAAAGAGTTTTATAGCGTAGTGAAGAAACTAGGGTGCTGTTTGTTTAGTGGGAAGATAAGACTTTAAAGCCAAAACAGAGTTCAAAGAAGCGAAATATCGAGGGGCTTTTGAGATAGAGAGGAAAATAGCGGTAAGCAGGGAGTGAGGATGGTAATTAAAATCCTTGACTTTGACAATATTTAGCCGTTAGGCTTAGTAGTGATATATATAAACTCTACGAGTAGAAAAGATTACTACTAAACGACAACAACAATTCAATGACTGCTCGGGATTCGAAATCATTGTATTTTTACTCATATATGTTGCGGTTACGTTGAGTCTTCAGACGCAAGTCTTGTATAAAAACTATTAGACTCGTTGATGTCATACTCCTCAAATGCTCACTTCTGAGATCTTGCAGTAAGTAGTTCATTGATAACTTCAGATCGAACTATCTTATATACCCACTATCTTCCCTTCTCCCCTATCAATCTCTCTTAATACCATTCCTTACTTCTCTCACCCAATACTTTATATCAAACTAATATCCACAATTTCTTCTCTCTCCCTCGATTGAACAGAACTTCTACCCAATATAAAACCAGTACCTCGACCCATGGAGCTAGGAAACAAAATACAAAGATATCTAGATCTGAGGTTGTTAGAAGTTATAGGATTTGGGAAGATTCGCTTGCAAAATCGTTTACAAGTTTTGATGCAAATTAGTGTAGAAGGAGAAAAGGGAAGGAGAGAGGAATAGGGGGAAGGAGGAATTGACAATAGCTTATGGAGATAGTTAGTGATGGGGACGATGACAGAGACGAGAAAGTAAAAAAAATGTGAACAGTTAAGGCCTCGATGGTAATAATAACATACCCTAGTGTGACAGTCAAGAGACAAAACAATAATATAAAAATAGAGACTAACAAACACAAACGACCACAAGTCCTCAAAGAATCATATCATAATACCCTCCCCTCCCTCTTCCAAATAACATAAAAAGAAACACAAATTCCAGGACTCAAAAACAACCGATGAACTTTCTTCATACCCACGCGGATTGCGAATTACAGTATATCAATGACATATCCTCTTGCAGATCTGCAATCTCTATTACTCATAAGCTCTATAGCTTGAGGATTTCAGCACTCTCTGTGAGGAAACTTATATACTCAGATTCTCCGAGATAGGGTTAGAATCAAATATAGAAATGAAATCTTAATATTCAAAATTCATTAAAAGTCTCATTAATGTCAATTCATCTTTTTTCTATAATCTTTTCTTTTCTCATTTATTTTTCATTTTATTAACATTTCTATTATACTATCTAGTAACTATATTTCTACTAAGTATAATCTATTCTATATACTCGAGT